AACACCTGGCCTCAAATGACCCTCCTACCTTGGCCTTCCAAAGTGCTGGGATCACAGGCTTGAGCCACTGTGCCTACCCAAAAAATTATAAATTTTATCATTTTCCCCTGGAGCCTCTCATATTCCTTTTAAATTCTTTAAAAGCACCTCTTTCAACATACCTGGTTTTGCTCATCAAAACATCAAGCATTGCTATATTCTTACTAGAGCCTCTTATTTTAAAATCAAAGTATAATAATGTACATACAGCAAAGTACACAAATCTTACGTGTGCAACTTAAATTTTTACATATACATATTCCCATGTAACTACCACTCATCCCAAAATATAGAACATTTTCAACATCCCAGAAGATTCCCTCATGTCCTTTTCCAGTTATACTACCACCAACACCACCAACACCGTGGAGTAACCACTATTCTGACTTCTACTACCAGGAAGTAGCTGTACTTGTTTTTGATCTCCATTTAAATGGAATCATGCAGTATGCAATCTCATGTTTGACTTAATAATATTGTCTATGAGATCCAACCAGTTGATATGTATATCCATAGTTCATTCTCTTTTATTGCTTTTGTAGTATTTCATTTTATAAATTTCATTTTATAAATATCACAATTTATTCATCCATTCTACTGCTGATGTACATTTGGGTTATATTCAATTTTTGGTTATTATGAATAAAGACACTATGAACATTCTTTTACATGTTTTTTAGTAGACATTAGTTTCTCTTGGATATACCTAAGAATGCAATTTCTGGATCATGGGTAGGAGTAGACACTGCCACAGTTTTCCAAAGTGACTGTACTGTTTTATACTCCTACCATCAACATGTAAGAGATCCAGCTGGTTTATATCCTTGTCAACATGGGCATTGACCATCTTTTTAATTTTAGCCATTCTGGAAGTTATATAGTAGCATCTCTTTATTGTTTTAATTTGTATTTCCCATTGACTACATGTTGATTACCTTTTTATATGCATACTGGCCATTCTGATATCCTCTATTAAAAAGTACTACTTCAAGACTTCTATGCATTTTTAAAATTCATTTTCTTATTGATTTTATACACATACACATATATTTTTGGTATGAATCCCATGTCAGACATATGAATTGAAAATTTCTTCTTCTAGTCTACATTTTGCTCTTCATTATCTTAATGGTGTCTGTAGATGGAGAAAAGTTCAATTTCAATGAAGTCTAAAGGCAAATTTATCATTTTCATGGTCACTGCTTTCTGAAGCAGGTTTTTAAGAAACCTCTGCCTCCTCTATTCACGAGTTCTTTGATTTGTGCTTATGGTTTGAGCAGTTCTCCACCTTGCTGTGACTTCATGAAATCCTGTATCTTTGGCAAGGCTTGCTCTTCTACCTTGCAGTTGATTTTCACTGCATTCATGTTATGTTGGTGCTAGACAACTCAAGTGGTATAAATAAGTGGAGATCAATTTTACAACTAGAGAATTCAGCAGTGATTATTTCCATATATAATGACTTCTGTACAAATATATTAAAAACCTAATGTTAAAAAAAGTTCTAATGTCCATTAGCTTGGCATTTTCCCCCAAACATGTTAGATGATTCTTCCTATCCTTTTAAAACCAGTCACAAGGAACTCCCTGCTCTATCATTTTTTCCTAAATTAGTTAACAAAATCTCCAATTTCCAACCATTTAGTTAGAAAAAAACAAACAAATCTTAAACACTACTAGCCAAGCAAGTGTTCCCCTCCCGGACCCATTATCTTTACACCCAATCAATCCTACACTCTGCTTTCCACATGTGTATAGAATCTGAACTCTGTTCTGCCACAGCCAATGCCCTGGTTCTCTCCCTCACCATCTCTTGTCTAGAGTATGGAAATTTTCCTTAACTGATCTCATCCTTACATTCTATCACCAAGTCATCAAAGTTGCCTCTAGAGAACATAAAGTTGATGTTACTCATCTAATCAAGATCCTTCTTATAGTCCCCACTGCCTACAGGGTAAAGTCACTCTCTTAGCTGAAAATTCACAACCTGGCCCTAACCTTTCCTGGTTTCTCTCCCAGAAACTCCTACAGTACTCTAGTCTGACCCCTGGACATCATGTGCTCTCACTTGTCCTGGCTATGTACTGCTTCCTCCTACAGTTAGAAGCCCTTTCTCCCTTTCTCCTCCAGTCAGCTCTCTTCCTCTCTTGACCAGGCCACTCCAGAAGAAGCAACTGTTCCCTCTTATGTGCATTTCCACACCTCTCTATACCCACAAATTTGAGTTCTTACATTTGAGTTAATCATTTATTTGTCTCATTCACTAGTCTACAAACTTCTGGACCTGGGACTTCTCCCTGAACTCCTCAAGGAAGAGGTCAGGAGTTAATCTTTACATTCCAAGGAGTTGGCAGAGCTGTTCCATAAAGGTTAAATGAAAGAATGTCCCAGCCACTTTTACTCATGTCATCTATTTTCTATAAATAAAGACTGGAAAAAGTAGTACAAGTATGTCAAAGTAATGAGCCTAACCAAAACAAGTTTTCTTTGAAAAGTCTCCTAGCAAATCATTCTTTTAAAACATGTAATAAAGGCAAAAATCTCAATTATTGATTTGTGTTTCCTGGTAGAGATTAGTCACAACTATTTGTTTTAAAAGACCTTTTTAAATAATGGGCATCCAACGTAGAATGAATATATCACTTAACCAAAGTAACTATAGTTATCACCACACACATCACCACTGAATGCCAATGGAATAAATCATGGTTATTATTTATACAACTAAAAGATCACAAACAAAACTACTCCCTTCAAATTTTGTTCCTGTACTCCCTCTTAACCCATAGCACTTCTGTATGATACAGGAGGATGGTATGCATGTTAGTTAAGAACAGAGGCTAGAATCACAATGCTAGTTGTGTGATTTGAACAAATTATCTAAATTTCAATGTGCCCCAGTTTCTTCATCTGTTAAATAAAGATAATAAAAGTACCCCCTCACAAAGTTGCTGGGTACCTGAGTTAGCACATATAAGGCCCTTGATACGGTGCCCGGCAGAGAAAATGAATGCATAGTTAATAAATGTCAACTATTATTACCATATTTTTAACTTTCTATGTTTTCATTTTTATTTTTTGAGACAACAGTCTCACTCTGTTGCCCCAGCTAGAGTGCTGTGGCGTCAGCCTAGCTCACAGCAACCTCAAACTCCTGGGCTCATGCAATCCTTCTGCCTCAGCCTCCCGAGTAGCTGGGACTACAGGCATGTGCCACCATGCCTGGCTAATTCATGTGTGTGTGTGTATGTATGTATGTATTTTTTTAGTTGTCCAGCTAATTTCTTTCTATTTTTTTAGTAGAGACAGGGTCTCGCTCTTGCTTAAGCTGGTCTCGAACTCCTGAGCTGAAACGATCTGCCTCCTCCCAGAGGGCTAGGATTACAGGCATGAGCCACGAAGCCCGGCCTATTTTTAACTTTTTAAAGCCCTTTTACATATATTGCACCCCTTACAACAGTGCAATGAGATTATATGAACAAGAAATCCCCCCTTTAAAGATAAGGCACTGACAGAGAAGTTATATGATTACCCTAAGATATTTTAAGTGGCAGAGTATGGACTAGAAGCCACACATAACCTCAATCCCAGGCCTAACTGACCAAATCTCCATGGATCTAGTTCAGAAGAAACATTCTTTTGGATTTTCCCCATTGTTTCCTCCTAGTTGTCAACAAGCAGGCCTAACGATCTGGTGGGTGCTGAAGACTCTGATACTTGGAGAAACAATAATAATAATAAAGACCTAGTGGAAACAGATGAACCACACTTTTTGCTGAACTCGAAAAGGTAGAAGCCTCACTTTCATGGTACCTGACACAGAGTTGGCACTCCTGACACAGGAGCTATTGATGACTGAAATACAAAGTGCTATTGTGCTTTCTCAAGCACAGAACAAGGTACTGCTCCACAAAAATCAGCTCTGCTACCAAAAACAAGTCACTTAATATTATGCATATCTGTCACATCAAAGCACAGTGACAACAGAAACTTAAAAAAATTTAAAGAATTTGCTTTTACTCTCAAAAATAAATAAGTTTTGCAAAAAGGACTTTCATCAAGACAGTTTCTGAAAACTAGTTGTATTTCATGACATGATGTTTCTTTGCCCAAGTGACTGATAGAAATATTTTATCTGGGTAATGTCTTCGCCAACACTTATCTTCAATATTTTCTTCAGACTTAAACTAAACCTCAACCCCCAGTCTTCTCTATAGCCACATGCACACTGAATACAGTTAATGAACTTCAAAGGCAGATGCAATGCTTCCTGGGAACCCACCTCTACCAGGGAAGTACGAGAAAGCAAAACGTCTTCACAACCACATCTAAGTTCCTTATCTTTTCATTTCTTCTCTCAAATGGCCAATTAGAAGCTAAGATACACCTTAAAGATCAGACTTGACATCAGCCCCTGGCTAAGGCCTACCTTTCGTTTCGTGGCACTACCACTCCTGGCACCTACAGGCACGTCTCTGGGACTCGGAGAATACGAAGGGAAAGCAGTTCTAGCCCCTGCCTAGACAGCTTTCGTCCAAGCCTTGCACGTGGCGGCCACTTGGGACGTTTCTGAACATGTGACTTAACCAGGGCACAGCTTGAGTGGTGTTTGGAGACAGTGATGCTCCTAGACCCGGCAAAGTCGGAGCAAGAAGGTCTTGACTTCCCTTTTGTAAATACCGACAGAGCACCCGGCCCTTCACACTGCACGACTACCTGCCCTCGCCAACCCAGCTCGCGCGGCCCCTCGGCTACCGACGCCTCCTCCAGCCTCCAGGAGTCACTTCCCCACACCTCCTCTCACCTGAGCCGGCTACTCCACCACCTGTGCCGGGACCCCAACTCCCGGTCAAGGGACCGTTACCGGGGGCTGCAGTCCGGGGAGGGCCCATGGCTCAGGGGAAAGAGCCCGGGCTCCAGCTCCCCCGACGCCGCCATTTTCCCTGAGCCGTAACCCCCACCTGACAGTTCCAGCCTCCCACCTGTCACTGGCAGGGGACTCCGTGCGACGCCGTGGGGGGCGCGAGGACTAGCCTGGGACTCCGAAGGGGTCACAACCTCCGGGCAGAACCCGCCGCTAATTCATCCCAAAGCGAGGAGGCGTCCAGCCGTCGCCCTAGTAATGCGTCCCGGCAGGCTCCATTCTGATTGGCTGTGGATGTCGTGACGCAACGGCGTCCCCGGCTGCGTGGGAAGAACGGGTGCCCGGCGCCCCGCCCCTGCTCTGCAGCCCGGGGTACCCCGGGCGCCCGTCTTAACGTCGGCGCCCGTCTTTGAGGGCTCTTTTAAAGGGCCCGCGCTTATTTCCTCATCTGGCCTGGAGAGGAAGAACCCACAGAGCGGAGGGCTGTATAGGCAAGAAGCAACAAAGTAGGAAATCAGCGAAGGTCATTGTCCCAGGGAACCTGATACTTCGTCCAACCTCTAGAGTTGCAAATTGGGAAACGGAAATCTGGAAGGTTAATTTACAAACCTAATTTTGTTGCTCCAAGTCACAGGGCAAATGGGCAGTAGGACAAGTTCTAGAAGCCAGGTTCCTGAGGGCGGCTCAGAGCTTTTTCTAGCACGGGCACTTCTAGGTACCTGCTCCCTCCTGCGAGCCCCCAGAGTGTTTTCATCACAAACCTCTTTAAAGGTCCTCCTGGATTCCTACTGTGGTGTGTCTGTCCCCTAACCTACTGAACGGTGGGGACTGTGGTTTAACCTGTTTTCATTTCTCCTGAAGATGCCTTCCTCGTGTTAACCTTCAACAAATACTGAAGAAAAGTCTTAAAAATAAACAGAGCACACATCACACACAGAGCATCAGTCATTCATGCATGTTTATATATTTTATTCGTTTATTCCACAAGGCATAGGGAAGGCCGAATATTAAAAATAAGTATAAGGTTCTTGTCTCCACAGAATTTATAGTGTAAGAATACTAGACTTCTAGATTTGGGATGCATAGCTTCAATATAGCTAAATTATACACCCAAATTCCCTGTGAGCACAAAGGTTCCTGTTCTCTCCTAAATCAGCTCCACAGTTTCTCTAACTTTGTTCAGAAACATTTAAATATTTAAAATGTGCTGTGGGCCAGGCACAGTGGGGAGGCTGAGGAGGGTGGATTGCTCAAGGTCAGGAGTTGGAGACTAGCCTGAGCAAGAGCAAGACCCCATCTCTACTAAAAAAAAAATAGAAATTAGCTGGACAAAAAGTATATATATATATATATTTATATATATATATATATAAAATTAGCCAGTCATGGTGGGTAGTCCCAGCTACTCGGGAGACTGAGGCAGGAGGATCCCTGGAGCCCAGGGCACTCTAGCCAAGGCAACATAGCAAGACTCTGTCTCAAAAAAAAAAAAAAAAATGCACTGTGAACTAAAATAAAATCTTAAGGCTCCTCCACGCCCACCAGCTGACTGAATGAACCTCCTCCCGGCCAAGGGGATATCCTAAAACTAAATTGCCTTTCAGGAGGAGGAAGATCAGACAGGCCTCATCATGACCCACCTCTTCTTGGAAATAGCCTTTGTTAACTCATTAACAAGCCTAAGGCTATGCAGGACAAACCTGCAGATCCTCAATTTACAGAACAAATGTCTGTTCTGTGGCTTATCTCTGATTAACAGACTTCCTTATCTTAAAACACTCTAAGCCTTTAGATAAACCTTCATGTCTTCAGGCAATTAGGAGAGTCAAAGAGCCTTTAAACCCACGTATAACCTATAAGACACCCCCCCCCTTTAGAGATGGCCTACCTTTTAGGGCTAAACTAATGTATGCTTTCCATGTATTGATTTATGACTTTACCTGTAATTCCTGTCTCCCTGAAATGTATAAACCAAACTGTAACCTAGCACAGAGGGACCCTTGCTCAAGGTTTCTTGGGTGTGGCTCCAGGTCATGGTCTTCAAATTTGGCTCAGAATAAATCTCTTTAAAATTATTTTACAGAGCTTGGCTTCTTTTCTGTTGACAGTTCTAAAGTTGCATCAGAAAATGAAGAAAAACAACAGAGGGAAATACCAGAAACAAAACCCAATTCTGCCAATTATGTCAGTGATGTTAGGCCTCATTTTTATCTTTAAAATGAAATTATTAGAATAAAAGATCTCTAAATTCCTTAAAAAAAAAAAAAAAAAAGAGTTGGCATGGCCATGATCCAGAACCCTAGTGGGCTACACTGTGACTCTTCTTCTAGGACTTGCTGCAATCTCCACCTAGCATTTCCTCTGCTACAGATATCTCTAGTATCTTGAAATGTGTCAGGTGACACAGCCCAGGAGGCAGGGCTGCTTATACTACAGACTGCAAACTACTAAGCTGAGCACTACTCATTACTAATTGCCTTCCGTATCAACTGCTAAATGGTTAGGAACAGTATTTCTAAGCGCAAAATATCTGATTCCTTAAACTCTAAGAGATCTACCAAGTGCTATGCTTCTTTCTTAGTAGCAAAAGGTCCAAGGTGCAGTAACTTGTTCTTCATTTTGGAGGAAATATCCTGACAATCCTGACATGTCCTAGACCATTGGACCACTTCATCATTCAAATAAGGTCTGTATTTTAGATATTGTACCAAGATTGTTTTCTTTGTTTTGATATATGTTCTATGTTTACACAAGATGTTAACATAAGGAGAAGCTGGGTAAAGGTATATGGAAAATCTTTGTATTCCTTTTGCATCCCTCCTAAGTCAAAAATTATCTCAAAATTTTAAAAATAATAATTATTTTTAAATATTGTCAGTGTAGCAAGATCCTGAATTTTTGTGGGGTTTATTTACCCTGTGAAATGTCCACGTCTCCTCAAGGCATCAAAGAGTAGAGTTATGCACCCCATAACAATGTTTCCATCAACAACAGACCTCATAAACAATGGTGGTCCCATAAAATTATAATACTGTATTTTTACTATACTTTTCTATATTTAGATATGTTTACATACACAAATACCATTGTGTTACAATTGCCCACTGTACTCAGTAGAGTAACATGCTAGGAGCAATAGGCTATATCATATGGCCTAGGTGTGTAGTAGGCTATACCATCCAGGTTTGTGTGAGTAGACTCCATGGTGTCTGCACTGTTACAGCGAGTGTTACAGCGACTGACCGGGGAAAGAACTGAGCAGCACACAGAGTCGGAGAATCAGCCTTTATTTCACCAGCAGGCTCAGAGGGGCATGTCACCAAATTCTGAGCCACGCTTCCTTGTTTTTCTCCGGTTTTAAACATTTCTTGGGGTTACACACAACCAATCAACTATGAGCATAAGGAGTTATCCAATCAGCCCAATCTGCAGTGAGTTCAGCCATGGGGCCGGGGGGTGGGGGTTTTTCCCTGTCAGCACAACAATGGAATCACCTAAAGATGCATTTCCTGGATTGTATCCCCATCTTTAAGTGACGCTTGACTGCATTTGCACTTCTTGCTCATCAGATCTAACATATTTTATTACCCATCACGATTATTTTATCATGATGCCTGATGGTCCAGGTCCCTTTGGAATATATTATGACAGAAAACAGGAAAATTAACATAGCCTTGGAGCAAAACTGTACAAGTAGAATGATATTTGTCCCATGTGAATGTTATTTTCCCCTGGATGAAATATTGTTTTTGTTTACTATTTTAGTTGGGGTGAGGCGGGAGAAGGCAGTTCCAAGGACTTCCACATGGCCTTTGCTACGACAATAGCTCTTTCCCTGCAGGCTGAGGACCAATGTGAGGTTTCTGTCAACTGCTAAGTATGTCCATTCCAATTACACATTCAGGAATCAGAAAAATGGCTGCTAAGTCTGTAACAGGACCCACTGAGACAGACCTGGATGGAGAGTACATTTATTATGTGAATCCCATAGGCCCCTACTTTAAAGGGCACCAGGGACTGCACCAGCTAGTGCATCCCCTTTCACCTACATCTTTCTCTGGTTCAACAAAGGTAAATGCCACAGCATTCCAGGCACTATCGATGCTCCACTTATAACTAGTTGTGTGATAATGGGTCCTCATTGCTGTCCTGCCATCAAATGATCCATCTCCAGAGTTCCACCTTTTGTGTCTGCTTCCTAGGATCAACTCTCTTAGGGAGACTTCCTAGAAACACAGCCTGAACAGGGATCCATGTGTGATTCTTTTTTCCTTGAGAAAGTGCCTTTAAGAGAAAGAGTATGAAAGAAGCAGACTAATAAGATAAAGAGAGAAAAGTTAAGTAAAGATATGGTCCCAGCTGGAAACCAGCTTCAGCCTGACCCCATGGGGAGCTCTGGAGTATGAATGACCCCATAAGGTTGTTCACCTTTGAGGCAAGGGGGTTGATATTCCTACATTACATTCCTGTATCAGTTATTGACTGCAAGCTCTCTAAGGGTGGGGGTACAAACCCAGCTGGACAAGGCAGCTCCTATTTAGCTGAGGGGAACCCTCTGGAGAAAAGGGCAACTGTGAGTCATTAGCAGCCAAAGCTCACAGCAGGGAGATGGGTGCCCCATCTGTTAGGTGCCCCAACAGTATCCAGTCCAGATACATCATAAATGCTAAATCAATGTTAGCTTTTTAACAGAATACATACATGATTCTCTGTGCCTAGAATCTCTGTGAGGGCTACAGAAAAAAAAAAAATTGCAATAGTTGCTCCTGGGAAGAGTAAACTGACATATCACTGAATTTCCCTTCTGTACTATTGGAATTTTAGCCAGGTGTATGTATTACCTTTTAATTTTGACAAGGAAAAAATTAAAAGCTTCTTTTATGTGCCTATGCCTATAAGCTTAAGAAATGGTATTAACCTGCTCTACTGCCCAGAAGGGTAATTTTCCCCCAATTTCTGAATCCTTCCTGACTCCAGCAACAGAGCATCATAGCTGATTAACTGCTCAATCTCATGCACCATTGATTTAATAGTCACATTTAATAGGGCACTCTCTGTAATGCTCAGGGAGGCACCATGACAAACAGGAAAACCCAAGTCCTAGTCCTTATTGTACTTTTGTTGTTATTGGGGTACTCTCTATGCCCATGTAATTGCTTCCTCCTCTTCAAAATGTGATAGTAATAAGGTAAAATATGTGCTCAGTAACAGACCTCAGAAAAGTGCCAAATAAGCTGCTGCCAATAAAATTGGAACAACTCTTTCCAGTGCTAATGAGTAGAAGG